AGTTAGGAACACCCCCTTTCGTTGAGTCATGTGGCGCCACACTAGGTAACTTTCTTTTTTTCTGTCTTTGTTTCTGTATGGTTTCTGTAAAGCCTGGAGGGTTGGAACGGGCTGGGTGACTGGGCAGTTAAGCAGGTTTGTTATCTATGTTATCTGATGTGTTGCAGTCCACACCCTCCCTGCCTGCTTTTCAGTGGTGTGTCAGTTTTGTGTTTTCAGGTCTGCTGCTTCTGATAATTTTGTTCTGTAAAAGTTTCACATTTGTGCTGTGTGTTTGTTAAGCATCTCTTTCTGTCCCTACTGCCCACGCACATGGCATGCATGGGTCAGGGGTCTTTTCTTGCTGCCCTGAGCACTTGGTGCAGGATAGGGGTTCCTCTGCCATGAACCATGGGTTAGAGTGTGCTGCATCGGAGTCCCCTGAGGCTGCTACCCTTGACGCCAACCATTGCTGCGGCCCTCACAGCTGAGCCTGGGTGAAGTAGGTGAGTCTGTTTTTCTATCCTCACTTGCTGGTCTGTGAGGCATGCGAAGTAGGGCTGTCTCTGCCCCAACTGCCATTGCAGGATGGCAGCATGGATCCTGGCTTTCGGTGGGAGTTTCCCTGCCATGAGCACATGGCTGCAAGGCCACTATCTGCCTGGCTGCCAGGCCTTCTCTGTGCTCCACACACGTGGTATGCAGGGAGACCATGGGGGTCTTTTTCCCACCCCTGCATTGGCCGAGGATCTGGGATTGCCAGCAGTACCCCCCCCAAGACTCTGCCCTGAGCACATGGAGCTAGGGCTGGTGAACCATCTGGCCTGATCCAGACATTCTAAAGAAATGGCCTTAAAGTTATTAAAAACTATAAAAAGGACTTTGACAAGAGTTTTTATATTGACTAAGAAACGAGAGAAAATATAGGAGACTAAAGTAATAAAGAGGGAAAAAGAAATTTGTCTAAGAATGTCTAAGAAAATCAGAGGAATGAACTAAAGGTATATAGAAAGATATAGATGGTTAAAACAAGTCATAGAAGGTCAGAGAAAAGGTTGTTAAAAGTCAGAGAAAAATGTAAACTGTTTGCTATGGTTTCTCATGTCTACAAATAGTAAATTTTAAAAATTAATAATATGAATTTTTGACCACATTAGGTTAATTCTGATTTAAAAGTTCTGTTTATTTCTCAAGTAAATTATATATGCTTGTTTTAAAATGTTCTGTTTCCCGGCATAACCTAAGTTCTGTTACAAGCATACAACTAGAACAAATGGTGCAGGTCACCACCATTTTGTAGCCAGCCGCATGGCAAACTGGTCACATGGCTGACTGGTAGCCATTTTGCTGAAGTTACATTAAGGGAGTTTAAATTTCCTTTTTAAAACCAGCTTTCTACATGTTTATGCTTTTTAAAAGATGTTTTTTATTAATGTTTATACTTAAAGAGCTTCAATTTAGAATCACTTTTTAAGTAAAGCCTGACAATGTGAAGTTCTTGTTTTATAAAAGCTGCTAATCTTACAGTTTATGTTTTCAGAAGTTAAGTTTAGGGCATTGGTGGCACACACCTTTAATCCCAGCACTCGGGAGGCTGAGGCGGGTGGATCTTTGTGAGTTCAAGGCCAGCCTGGTCAGCAGAGCGAATTCCAGGATAGGCTCCAAAGTTTCAGAAAAACCCTGTCTCAGAAAGAAGTTAAGTTTAAGAAGCAAGCAGCTAAAATATGTACATGTAGCTACTGTTTAAGGAATATAAGATAACTCTATGCAGTTTTAAATTCAGCTGTGCTAAGTTTCAAATATTTTGCTAAGTTAAAACCAGTTACAGTCATACTGAAAATTAATTATTTACAGAAATAAGACCATACCTAGCCACCTGTGTGCTTAATGTGTACTTAAGGCAAGTAACTAAACAGAACTAATGCTTCATAGACCTGAAGAATATGGCATTTAAAATGTTATCTTTAAAATTTATAATATCAGACAGACTGCCAGATCCTGATAGTGACCCAAAGTCTCCAAAGAAGATTATGAGGCACCCCAGTTCCTGCACCTGGACCAGTGAGCAAGATGCTCAGATGTGATACCTGCTGCCTGCCAGGACCTGGCCAAGACTGTGGACAAAGCTGCTGGACACTGGAAAATTTATTGTACCCCCTTTTGCCTAAACAAAACAAGGTCAGGCTTTTCCATGTCCCTCTTCCACAGAGAGAAAAAAAAACCTTTTACCTTATAGGTCTTTTGAAGATTCCTGTTCTTTGAGACATCTGCCTCCATCGATAATAGAGAGACTTGGGTATGGATAACTGTATATGGACTGGCTTCTAACTGGCTTCTGTCACTTTTTAGTAGATTTGATAAAATATACCCTTCTCAGATCTCTAAAATATTAATGGTTGTCAGCTTGACAGCATCAGACAGTCAGATCCACAAGACTATAGTCAGTATGTTAGCTAATAAAGTACTGTTCAGTCACAAGCTCAATGTTTTTAGGTTTATTCTGGTTGTCATCTAAGTATAAACTTAAAGGGCTTTTCATTAGGCCAAAGGCACCTCTGTCTAATCTATACCTGGCTCTCTGGACAGAAGAAAAATGTGCATACTTATAGCTCAAATCTACATTTTTTGCTAGGACTCAAAGTTATTATAAATATGTTCCTGCTATTTGAACAGATATCTGATTTTTCTGCACTGTGGGCTTCAGTAAATAAGTTTTAACTTCTATCCTAGAATAAACATGTCTAAAACAGGTTTCTGCTTCTGGCAGACATCTGAGTATCAGTTCCTGACTACAGGCTGTTCCTAAGTAGATTGCAAACCCTGGACTTGCTGTGCATGTTAACCAGTCCAGCTGATATGGACACCCCTGTCTCTGCAACAGAATCTGCCAACCAGAAGCTCCTGATGGATTCCTCATTTCCTAAATTCCTTTTTTGCTTTTGACTAGCATTTCAGCCTTCTTGGGTCCCTAACTTCATCCCAACGTCAGCAGGAAGTAGCATGGGAATGAATATGTAGCCCATTTTCCCTGGTTGAAATGCTAAGTCAAAAGGAACTCCCTTACATGGGGGATGCCAATATCTCTCACTCCCTGATGGAGATCCGGGAGAGACAGCAATTCCATGATTGGAATTTCCATAAAAGAAACTGCGGGAATGAAGTGACCAGTTCCCCATTTTGGCAGCTATAACAGCAGAACACGTGCTTGTCTGACCTTGCCTTAGTCACTAGGTCAGATGCCTACCTCGTGGCAAGGAACCAATCAGAAGTTAGCTGGTGGTGCTATGCTTTCCAGCTCTGGGTGTGCTTTATGGACGGGTGTTACGATCTAACTTGCTGTCTCCTTGGCCAAACAGTATTTTATTCAATAATCAATAACATAAACATACACAGTACATTCCCCATCAGACAGGTGCACAACAATGAGGTGCAGAGCATAGCAACCATCCTGGGAGGGCCTATGGGCCATAACAACCAGTTGACTAATCAACATAGGGCAAACCCTCCAAACCTGGAGGCACACCAATCCTCAGACTGTGTGTACCCCTAGGCACTCCCCTTACGCTGCCCTATAAGATCTCTATGCAGCTGCTTCCAGCTGTCTTTCCAAGCCATCTGCCATGGTGGATGGGTGAAAGACCCGAGCTAACATGGGGTTGGCTCGTTAAACAACTATAATAAAGCCTCATTGTGTTTGCAAAAATAAATAAATAAATAAAAGTAAAAAATAAAGAGATTCACAACTGGACAATGTGCATATAATGAGAGACTTTGTCATAAGTAAAATCTCCTCATCAAGGCCCTCTCCTTGTTACATGGGAATCTGTACAGAAGGGGAAGAGGAAAGATTGAAGGAACCAGAAATGGTGGATGACTCAGAGAAAACAGTGGCTTTTAGGCCCATGACTGATACAACATAATATCTTAGTGAGAATGTGACAGCACACCCAAGACCTACACAGGATCAAGCAAGACAGTACACCAACACTATAACAGGGTACTGCATATAAGAAACCATGAGTAACCAAGAAGCTATTTGCAATTAACAACAGCTAAAAAATAAAATCAGTGTTTTTCAATGGAAATCCTCAAGTCTTTGTTTTGTATTGTTCTGCTTTTTATACATTTTAACTTATTAAAATTGCTAGTTTTAAGAGTTAGTCATGAGAAAATCCACATGCATTTGGGTATGTAGGTGGGGTAAAAATCTCAAAAGAGATGGCAAAGGGGAAAACTATGATCACATTATACTGTATAAGTAAAGTTTTAAAATTAAAAATGAAATAAATATTCATTTAAACCTTCATACATAAGAGTGGCATTTACTACTCTGGCCCTTTAAGATTATATGTCATGACACTGGTTTTTTGCTCATAATCTGTCATTTGTTACTGGTAGCCATGGAAACATGAGAATTTTTAGAGTTACTACTTACCTTACACTTGGCAGCCTTACACTATCATTTGGGCTTCATAGATGAAACTAAGAGGCAAGTACTTTGTGTTTTCTATGCATTTTTTATTAGTCACATTCAATTTCACAGGGCAAGGAAAGTCAAAAGAACCACTGACATATGCTTCAGTTATTTGTTGACATAATTTCCATGTGAGTAAATGAAGCTAAATGTCTTAAGTGTGGGTGCCAATGAGGACCCTGGAGATGGCACTGGCCATTATACCTGTGAAATTTCCTGAGGTTGAGCATGTAAATTAGCCTTTTTGTTTTGTTTTCCTATTTATAAAATGAGGAAACTGATTGTGTGGATATAATTGGAGCTACAGGAATATCAGATGGGCTACTACTCCTGAAGTGTATAAATGAGGCTCTAATGAAGCAAAGCAGAGAAGAGGAATATGTCAGTCTGTGTGAATCAGGCTTTGGTTGATGCGAAACTGTTGTGTGCTGAAATATCTGCCTAACAGAACTTCTCTTGCTGAAGGTGATTCACCTCTTGTGTGACTCCTGGTCTGGTCAACATTTTCTGTAATTTGGAAGATATTTATAATCTTGACATCTTCCCAATGGATTTCCTCACCCTCGATAAACAAAGGTAAAAACTTAAAATGAGTTACTTGGAGGGTTTGAAATTGGGTCTTTATGAAGCACACACATCTCTTCAATGGCATTCTAACATGGATAGAACAGCATTATCTTCCCTGATTCCTGTTGTGCTTCAAACTACACTTCTCCCTTAGTTCACTGCCTCAGATGTGCCCTGGCAAGCATGAGGTTATGGGGAGGATGAAAACCCAACTTGCTGATACAACATTTGAAGTATTTGCCAAATCTCTTCTCTAAGTTAGGAAGCACACTTCACATAGACTGTGTGGGGTGCAGTGATTATCTGTTATGGAGGATTTCTGTGAAAGGTGATCCAGTTTACTGACCCCTCACAACTTCTGCATGGACAGTGGCAACGACATTATCCTCATGCCTGCTGTATACACAATTTTGGCTCCTTCCCTTCTCAAGTACTCTGTGACATCACTCAGGGCATAGTTTTTTTCATGAGCATTAACACTACATCCAAATATTTGAACTGAGAAGTGATTTAAATAAGCTGGTACACAAGTACATATAGAGACTTAGTTTTGTACTACAGAAGACAGTTGTTTCCACAAATAGGATACCTTATATGCAATGAATAAAAAAATGTTGGTTATATGAAAATCCACTTTTGAGTAAGTTATGGGCCAATGATGGAAATACCATGAATTCTTATGTTTTAAAGATTTAGATTTTTGCACTGAGCAATGGAATCAGGGTCTCCAACATGTTCAGTAATAGTTTTTCAACTGAGGCATATGCTTACCCTGAGTTTTCAAAGTCATTCTAATCAGGGCTAAATTATAAAATATGTATGGCTTAAAAAAGAACTTGGCACATTTCAGAAAAATATAGAAATAAGACATTCTATACTGCTAGACTGAACTACCTAGAGTTACCTTTTGGGGTGTATCTTTTATGGCCCATTCTCTTTGTGTGTGTGTGTGTGTGTGTGTGTGTGTGTGTGTGTGTGTGTTAGAGAGAATGTCTGTGTGTGCATGCACACGTGTGCATGCCTGTGTTTTATGTGCTTATGTGCATACACACAAAAATACATGCCTCATGTATAGAATGTGGACATGCATGAGTATAACATGTAGATCATTGTTCATTTTGCTTGTCCTGTTTACAATATTCACATAAAAGTCCACTACAATAATTTAGAAATGATATTTGAGAATTTTCAGATTATAATATTCATTTAAATTATTTATTATATTTCAGTATTCAAAACATAGTTGAAATAAGCATTTACTTACATATGATATTGCAAACTGTTTTTCACTGCTAATTTCAAGCATTAAAATTCTTAGTTAACAAATACATACATTTCAGCATTTGACAGATACAGTGAAATTGCTAGCCCAAACCTCTTATAGAGAGTACTTCTTCTATAGTCATGGGGTTTGGGGCTTCTTATACTCTTGTCTGTAGTATGTTACACCCCAATAAATACATAGATTACTTAAATACAGCTATGTGAATAGCAGGTACAAGGTATGACAGCCTAGTGCTATATTAATAATCACTGTTTTTATTTTGTTCTTCTGCCTTCTCTTGTGTTCTTGGCTTAACTGTATACATGGTCAATCTCATCTTCAGATTTGCCAATGGAAAGGAGTGCATCTTCAAACTGACTGGCTTCTTTAGCAGCCTAACAGCTTTCGTGTTACAAATAGTCATTGCAAGCAGCCAATGCTGGCGCCTGTGGGTATTCAATGATAACATTGTGAAGTTTGTGTCCTTTGGACTCTGGGAAGCTCATTACCCTCAAGAGTTTAATGTCTCAGGTACTGTAATCAAGATGCTGGTGCATACCCCTATCAATTCCAACTGGACCATCTCAACTGAATATCAGTATGCACAGAATCTGATGGTGGGGGCCATTTTGATGAAGCCTATAGTTCTGGTTTGCAGTTCGATGGCCATTAAGATCAGCTACATGAAATACCCATATGTTGAGATGCAGATATATTGCTACAAGGTCTCTGCCTTAGTTATGTGTCTTAGTGGCCTCTTCACATTTGTTTCTGTGAGCTGGAACCACATTGTAGATCTTTATGGCCAAACCACTCTCGACTTTCCACCTGACTTTCCTGTTAAAAAAGAAGACTTGATAATGAAATACTTTACTGCTGTGTTCCCATTTGGGATTCTGATATCCACCATGTCACTCTTTGGTGCGATCTTCTTTGTCTCTGAGATAAGCAATTTGAAACTTCAGAGTCAGGAGAAGGCCAGGTGTGCTTCCAAACTTACCAAACAAGATGTGTAAAGTGAAGGCTCATACATTTGCAACATCTGTCAGAATGCTCCTTGAAGAAATTTCCTCTATACAACAAAAAATGCATGTAGTCATCAACTCATTCTGAATAAAGCCTCCACTTGGTTCTCTGGCTGTGTCTAAATTATTTCCTCTTCTATATGTGTAATATGTTCCTGTCTCTAAATATGTTCTCATCCTCAACTCTGAAGGTGATTTAGTAGTTTGAATGTAATTGGCTCCCATGATCTCATAGTGAGTGGCACTATTAGGAGCTGAACAGAATTGGAGATCAGAAGAGTGTCTTGACATCAGACATGGAGATGTAGTGATTGGAGTTTTCCCAGCCACTTTTTGGTCTTGCTTTGGTCCAGTATTTCCTTGTCATGCTCCCTTCCCTGCATTTTGAAATGGTTATTCCTGCAATCCCACCACAGCCTGAGTTGAGGTCCTGAGATGCGGAAAGGTTGTAAGTGAGAAGAAATAAAATGAGCAATCACCAGATGAGTTTCACACAAGTGACCTGCCCCAAATAGCTCTAACTGTCTTTATTTATTTATCTAAAACAAACATGTTTTTCATACTAACAAAAAAGCTATTCCCATCCTCCATTGTTAACCTCTGGCAAAAACAAAAATGTCAAATATGTTTTTCCCAACTTTTACATCAAAATATCTTTTAATCCCAAGCAACACTTATTTTGCTAGCTTGGCAAAATATTGAGCCATGTACATGCTGTCTTTATAAAACTAAAATGTGATTGACATAGGCACACATTTCTGAGAATAATCTCATTCCTGTTGAAAACTTATTTACAGAAATATGGTGATCTGCCTTTGATCCTGTCAGCAATGAATCAGGACAGCTCCCAGCTGTCTGAAATGACAGCTGGCATCCCAAGACAAGAAACCTGAGAAGCATCAGCTCCCAAATAATTTTAAGGGAAAATATTTGAGAAAAATGTGTCTTTTCAGGAATTATCACTTCCGTCTCATGAATGATTGACAAAAATGACACTTAAAAAGCTAAGAGAGTAATCAATATTATGAGAGAGAAGAGAGCATGCAGGCTATGCTGTCCCAGCAGTATCTTGTGCTGTCCCAAAGTTAACTGGTCCTTGCTGTATGAGACTGTCCCCATGGGCTTTTGTCTCATCTGGAGACCTGTTAGACAAGCACTCAAATACTGGTCTGATACTCGGCTTCATGACTCCAAACAGTAATGTATATGTTGGAAGTACGTGATATGCTTTTTTTATTTTCATCTTTACAGGTGACTAAAATAAGAGATTGCATGATTCTCAGAAAAACAGTTTGAGTGTTAAACTTAAAACATTTTTGAGACTGTGACAGACTATGAGGTTTTGGAAGTTGTACTAAATGAATTTTGCATTATGGTATTGTCACAAGTTTATGTGGGCCAGGAAGTTGAGTGTGGTAGTTTGAGCATAATCCCCCCCCCCAATCTCATAGGGAGTTTTCCTTATAAGAGTTTCTGTGGACATGGTTTCTCTTCACAGCAATGAAAACCCTAACAAAGACAGCAATGATCATGTGTTCAGATAATGACAACAAACAGAAGTAGGAAAAAGTATTCATGAAATGTATGTTGTAAAATAAACACAACCAATACCTGCTGAAATAATTTTATAAGAAAGCTGACATGTCAACACACAAACATATTCTCGTGTGATGATGGGTCTTTACATCTATTGATGGCAGGACTGAACTTCACTGTTGTGGCTCTGCAGACAGTGTGTACTGTTTTCATTCCATAGGAAGGCTATGCTGTATTCTGGGCAGTGGGTAACTCCTTTCTTTATGTTTATAAAATTACACAGGCATTTGCAGTGTGTTCTCATTGAAAAAGCGGTGTAGAAATCAGAGGACAGTTTATCCAAAATTGTTTTGCTTGTATTACCTCTTTAATCAATGTATTCAGACTCAAATTAACTTGATGGCAAACATAATGTCCTACTAACCAATCCCACTAATAAAAACATATGACTTTTAATCCTTTATCCCCATAGAATAAAGGTCATTAGTGAAAAAGAAACCAATGTCATGTCTATAATTATCAATATTCTTTAACAATTGTAAGATTTTTCAGTTTTCCAGTCTTTTTGCCAATCAGAGAGTGTTTCAACTGTCAGACCTTGGGCAATAATAAATCAACTTACATACTTCTTACATCAAAGGTAAGTAAATATTACCATTACAAAAGGGAGGAAGGGTAAATAGCAAGGGAAGAGAAGGCAGAAAAATATCTAAACCCATGAGGGTAAACCCTCAATTCAGCAGCTGCATACCTGTCATCAAGTGATACAAGGCAGTAGTAATTCTGGCTTCAAAGATGTCTTGGCCTTCCATCAATGTTGTCAGCATCAAGCAGTGTCTTTCTTGAGCTGTCTAAACTACACACATGCAACTTTCCATGACAGATACTTCATGTTGCTGGAATCCCCATCATCCTGGGTACCCACTATAGCATGGGCTTCTTCTTTACATCTTCATTCAGGAGCCTGTCTAGCTCCTTTTCAGTAACTTTAGCTCTGATATATATTACCTGGAAATGTCATTCAAAATTCTATTACCCTATAATATTGGTTCTTCTTTCTCCCAATTTAGTACCCTAGGGATCATGCTACCAAGTTCTTTTTCTAGCTCAATGTGGACTTGGCTGTGTTGGTTATTTTTGTTGTTGTTAGTTTGACAAAATCTGGGATTATCAGATAAGACTAGAGTCTGGATGAGCTGGTTGGTTTTTGTTGTTGTTGTTAGCTTGACATAATCTAGTTTCATCTCAGAAGAGGGAATCTCAATTCAGAAAATGCCTTTATGAAATTGGCCTATAGGAAAGCATGTAGAGCATTTTCTTGATTAATGATTGATCTTGGAGGGCACAGAGACTGGGTATGGTGCCACACTTTGATAGGTCACCCTGGTTATAAAAGAAGACATGCTGAGTTAGTCTCAGTGAACAACTAAGTGAATACAATTTCTCCATGATACCTGTATCCATTCTTGCTCTAGGTTCCTTCTTTGATTAGTGACTTAGTAATGGATTGTTAAGTTTCTGCTTTGGCATTCTCTTGTGAGCAACCCTCCTCTACATAATCAAGCCCACCTATGTCATATCCACTTTAAAAGCACTAGCATGAGATGTGTAGTTCACACATGGTCTTTGCAATGTAAGCTCCCCAGAACCCTTCCTACCAGAATCACCCCTATTGTGCCTGACTAGATATGGTTACACAGATAATCCACTGGCTACCTGTAATTTTTTTTTTACTCTTTGCTCTTAGGGGGCCTGACAAAGTTCCTAAATAATAACAAGGAGGCTTATTCTATCTTATGAATGCCCAGCTTTAGCTTGGCTTGTTTTTAGCCAACTTTTCTTAACTAATTATGCTATCTGCCTTTTGCCTCTAGGCTTTTACCTTTCTCTATTTCTGTATATTTTTCCTTTTTATTCCATGTCTGTTTGGGTGGCTGGGTGGCTGGCTTCTTCTTTTCTTACTCCTCAATTTCTCATCCCAGATTTCTCCTCCTATTTATCCTCTCTGCTTTCCAGCCCCATCTATCCTTTCTTCTGCCTAGCTATTGGATATTCAGCTCTTTATTAGAGCAATAAGGTGTTTTAAAAAGGCAAAGTAACATGAAACCAAGTAAGTACAATCTTGATCTAAGAGGGAAGAATAAGCCCAGCCTTATGGTCAAACCAAAAAAAACCCCAAACTATAGAAGGGTAAATTAATCAGTGTTCAATGTATGGGACACACTCACAATCTTCTGAACTTCAAAGAGCTTAGCTACTTAGGAAGCTCTGGCTCTGTCATGAACAACACAGGCAGGTTGTCTCACTGGCTCAGGGCAGTTTCACTGTAGACCTACTATTGCCCTTGCTGCATGTCCTGGTATCTCCACTATACTGGGGACTGAATAACAAGTGAGACTCTAACTTTTCCAATAGCCTCTCCTCAGATCTCTTCAGGGCTTCTAAGCCTACCTAATGGTGCTAAGACTCTTTTTCTATCCATACCTTCTTTACTCTTTTCTCTTTCATTGCAAGTGAGTCTGTTCCTTCAAAAATGGCCTCTTTTGGCCTTTCAAAGAGCCAAACCTCAGATGTGCTGTTTAGTGAGATCCAAAGAATCACATCCTCCAGAGATATCTCCACACTTTCATTTTTAGCAAGATTCATGCAATTTCTGGAGCAGCATTCCCTCACAAGCACCAATCAATTCATAAACTGACCCTCAGTATACCCACCTCCACATTGATTAACTTTCTTCATAAAGGGTATAATCTGCAACAGGAATCTCCCCAAATGAGGACAAAGTATTCAAACTGACATGGGAACAAATGTGGCCCAAAGGATGGGCAGGTGTAGCAGAGTTACTTTTGGAACACCAACCAGTTCCAAAATAAAGAAACAGACTTAATATTAGTTATGAATGCTTGGCCTTAGCTTATGCTTGTCTCACTAGCTCTTACAAATTAATTTAACCTGTTTCTCTTCATCTTCTTTTTGCCTTGGGCTTTTACATTTCTTTCATTCTGTATGTTCTACTCCATGTCTTGCTGGCCTGTGGCTGCCTGTGTGGCTGAGGATGTCTCCCTCTTTCTCCCTCATTCTCTTCTCTCTTTTCTTTCTCATTTCTCTGTTAGCCACACCAGCCTATCCTACTACTACTTTTTATCATACCAATCAGGTACCTTAGGCAGGCAAAGCAAAATATCTTTGCATAGCTAATCAAATGCAGCATAAACAAACACAACTCAACTTTACATTGTTACACAAGTGCAGCATAAACAAATGTAACACATCTTTGCGTAGTTAAAGCAATCCTCCACAACTTTCATGGAATTTGGTTTTGGGACAGGAGTGGGTACAGTGTCAGTCTGGGGGGCTTTTAGGAGTGACTCAGTGACAAAATTTTTGGACTATTAGAGATAGTTTAAGAAGAGAAGGTGGAAAATGAAATTTTGTTAAAAGGAAGTTTAGGAAGT